AACAATTAATGTATTTAATTTTGCAAACAAAAGGCTTCGGGCGTCTTGAATTCTCATACCGAAACTTATATAGGATTCGTTTTTGTGAGGTTTTACAGATATTAAGCCTTGGATCAAACAATCGATACCTCTTTGTTGCGGCTCTACCTCTGAGTTTTCCTAATATTGTATCGAAAAGAATGCCATTAATAGTGTCTGCTGGGTTTTCAGCATTTTGAAAATTTCTTAAAAGGTTTTCACAAGAACAAATAAATCGGTGCAATAATTTCGGGTTTCCGTCAAAAGGTGCTATGTTATCAGCTTGTTATCTTAATAGTGGGATATCTCGACTCATGATTAAATCTTATTTAAAAATTAAAATTAATGTAAAGATAGTTGTAAAATTAAACTTGCTTTACGATAAATGACGTGCAAAAATATACAAAGCGAATGATTTGCCCTTTGTATTCACTATTACAGCAAAACAATTGGGAAAAATGGGTTTCAAAAGGAAATGAGCACTTACAGTAGTAATCCTGCGGAGATTGATGTGGTCTTCATACTAAGCCTAGTGTCTAGAGGAATCTCGATGCTAGAAGTTCCCAGACGTCCTTAACTATTTCCAAAAGTTTGTCGATGCTAGACAGAACTCTGGAATCGTTCCGTACTCTGATTGTTGAACTTCGATTTTTGAGGTTTTTCTTCAGCAAACGATTGAAACCGACCGGATCGCGATTTTTGTCGATACCGTCTGAATTTAAATCCTACCGACTGCGCCAGTTAAATTTTTCAATCAAGGGAAAGCCTTTTAAAAAAGATTTATTTTCAGAACGACGAGTTCCAGCAATAGTTTACTTGTGACAACTGATAACTTATAACTGAACTTATGCTAAGATTGCAAGTGGCACTTATAAACTAAAACTGCTGAATTGGTGCAACTAAGCATTTACTTCGCTGACCAATTAGTTACAGGGTTTATAACTCTTGTTCCAGGCCAATGTGAGTCCTGTTGCCATTCCTGCTGCGCCAATTACGTGCAGTGCCACACCAATCACTGTTGCCACGAGCAATGCCGCTACGAGTGCGGCACCAGCAACTGCCGCAGCAATTGCCGCGAATCCTGCTACCAATCGCTGCGGCGCAACCAAACCCCAGCGAAAATAGTCCAACCAAATGTGGTTTATGGGGGTGCGCCTGCTGCTGTACAGAAGCAGGACTCATCCATCAACAACAATAATAACTTGCGCAACGTAACGACCGTTATCAATGTGAAAAACGTGGTGAACAGTACGAATTTCCTGAATTTGCCGATCAACATGACCTCGATCAACAGGAACAACATCACTCTGAAGGAGCTGGAGCGTGGAGGCGGGTCCACCCAGGATTGCTGCATTGTTATCGGTAAATATTAGGGCCGAAGTGGTCATTCAAACGAGATGCTGCTGCGAGCTTGTTTCGTGGATTTTTTGCGAATTTCTGGATGTTAGAATGAGGAAGTTGAAAAGAAAGTTGTGTGGATGTATGGGATCATCTTCAGGAAGGTTGAGATTTGCCATATAAAATTTTTCTTTTTTTCAAGAAGGCCTTTGGAAGGCACGCGTTCAAACATTAATTTTGCTTATTAATTAATTTAGTTTCAATATTGGGCGATCTTCCATAATCTTAGGTAGTGATGAGCAGAGACTGATGACTTTTATGCGTATTGCTCGAAAAAACTCATTTTTGAAGTGATAACTTTTTATGGGAGGGTGAACCGATTTTTTTCCTCCCACTCCGGCCTCTTCGCGCCTGAGGCTTGGGACGTACATATGCACTTTTTTTCAAATACACATTGCGTTATTAAACTGACAGTGATTTCGATTTATCAATTAATGAGTGTGATATTATTGTGTTCGGTGCAGTTTATTTTATAACGCTGATAACAATGAAGCAACAAATTATCAAGGGAGAAACTGCAGATACTGCAAATACTAGGTTAAGGGTGCTCATGTACTAAATTCCTATGTTGTAGATAAGTTCTATATTGTTGAGGCGGATTCATTTTTTACAAACTTCTTTTTGGGTATTTTGCCTCAAAAATGTTTGTCTTTAAAAAAGACAGAATTTCCTCACGTCTTTTATTACAGATTGATAAATAGTGCTCCTATTTCGCAATAAGAACGAACTATTTAGCAAAAAGTAATCAAGAACTGTCACCTAGAGGGTATCCTGCGACACACTTAGGCTCAAGCTGTAAGAGAAAATTCGAATTAGTAGAGAAATTAATTTTAAAAATTACCTTGACGTTTCGATAGCTATTTTCTGCTATTAATTATGTTAAATTAATTAATTAATCTATTAAATTAAATTAATTAATCTATCTTAAAGAACGCACACAACTAAGCATTAACACCATTATTGAACTTTTAACAATATGTGTAAAGTCAACTTACTTTCAATACAATGACAATTTT